CACCACAAGTTTTTAAACGGGGTGCGAGGGACAGACAGGGGGTTTGACTTATTTGACCTGAGAGAGCGAGCTGATGAGTCTGGGTGGAGGAGATCGGTTCATGCAGGAGCTTGAAGATGGTGCGCTGCTCTGTAACTTTAACTGAGCCACAGTAACGTTACCTTGTCCTAACTGCCTGGCTTTGTTCGGTCAGGACGAAGAACCACGGAGCAGGTGCAACGTTTCATCGCTGACCTTTTAACTTCTGTTTGTACCTGTTTTAAGTGACTCTTGTTTGTTTTAATTTAATGACCTTTTTTTTAAGTGGTATTTTTAGCTGCTCGACATCATTGTAAATAAGGGCTTTACTCTCGGTGATCTTCAAGTTAAAAAAAAAAATAGACACACGTCAAATGTCAGGACACTGCCATATGCGGTCACTACAGGAGGGAATTCTGTGGTAAAACCTGGAGAAGTGGTGAAGGAAGAAAAAGAGAAGGTACCTGGCTACACTTTGAGAAGAGGCAAGATTCTGCACTTCTACAGGACGCAGCTGAACCAACTCGTTCAGTCTGTATCTGATCGATAGAGTGGATTTTTCAGCTGGGCTTGTATCGCTGTCGTTTTTCTTTTTAACCTTTACAAGGTTTGAATGCCTGTAACCAGAGACTGACAGTGGGCTCCCCATGTCTACACGCCGTGGTCATTCAGCGCAGGAAGACACACTTTGACTTTAGACACTAACTGGTGGGAAATCATAGCAACTATCGTTCATTTGAATCGCACTGAGGCACGATCCACCTCAGCCCAAAGAGAAGAAGGGAGCAGAGAGTGGAAGGATGGAGGGAGGAGGAAGAGCAGAGGGAGGAGGGGGAGGTGGCAGATGGCTGCAGAGCAGGAACGACGGAGGGAGAGAGAGGTGTAACCAAGGTGGTGAGGTGAAGAAAGGGAAGTTAGAGGAGGGAAAAGGAGGATGATATTTGTTAGAAGGAGAGAAACGTGGGACTTCAGTGTGAACAAATTTCATCGGGACTATCTTCTACAGAAGGAACAGTTCCAGTGAAAACAGCTGTCAGTGAGCCCTGGGGATTTTTCAGCACTGTGAGCATCACTTACCAAATTCCATTCACCTCCAATGTATTGGGATGGAGGCAGACATATCAAAGTGTGTTGTGATGTAGATCTACCCGTCAGTTTCATGTCATTTCACACAGTGTGAAAGACAGTTTTCCCCCGATTAAGAGCAAGCGCACTTTTATTAAACAAAATATACACTATGAGAAACAATAATCCACAAATGTAAAAACTATTTTGAATGATTAGCAAAATACACTGTAATGTATAAAAACAATAAAAGCCCTATATAAAAGCAATAAAACATACAATATAGGACATAAGTCCCATAAAAGCAATATATGACCATAAAGGTTGTGACTCCCCGGGTCAGCTAACACAGATTCAAAAACATCAAGAGGAACTGACCCACCTAATTTGAATCTTTTTTGCATGTTATTTCAATCATGTGGCGCATAAAATTCTAAAGCTAATTTCCCAATCTCTGTGCTAACACCTTGATTCTCTGGCTTTTGCATTAGTTACATTATTATTATTATTATTATTATTATTATTATTATTATTATTATTATTATTATTATTATTATTATTATGTGGTACTGCAGTGCAGACTGTTCAGATCAGCCTCCACTTTACAACTGCATAACTACACAACCATCATGTGACCCTGTAAACGCCAAAAACAGATATGATGTTTACAGCCAGGGCCGGTCTACCTGAGGTTTCAATATGCTAACAGATGATTTTTATAGCAGTGGCTGCCAAATGAAAAATGTTACTTAATGTATAATATATATAGTTGGTAGTAAGAGGCCAAAAACATGCAAAACACCGGCAGGTTAAAGGTATATGGTTCATTTAGTGAAGCTACAACTTTAAGTGTCCCATGACAGCCCGAATGATTTTACAGACATTTTAACATAAATATTGTCAAATATGAACCTGTTTTATTTTCAGTGTAGAATATGTTTTTTTCTTAAGGCGACACTGGTGGAGCTTTGGTCATGAGTGGAGGAACAGAGAGGGAGAGAGGGAGAGAAGGAGCAGAGGGGGAAGGGTGTTTGCCCCCTGCAGGGCTGCTGATGGATGCAGGGCTCCTGGGGTTAAGGGGAGGGCAGCCAGACCCTGAGCCGGGGTACAGAGTGGCAGCTACCTGCCGCTCATCTCACACACACACACACACACACACACACACACACACACACACACACACACAAGTAGCTTTTATTACAGTATTCAGTCAAACACTTTTATGTACATCATCGCACACACACTGACCCACTTCATGTCTCACATGGGGGTTACATGTTTAACTGTACACTTTGTAACAAACACACACACACACACACACACACACACACACAGAGCAGGAGATGCTAATGGGAGGGAGGGAAGGAAACAGGAAAACAAACCATGTGACAACATGAATTGTGTCAGAGCAGCAGATAACAGATGAAGTGACTGCAGCGTGATGGTGCAGACAGAGCAGGGCTCCACTCACAGCTCTGCTCCGCTCTGTCTTTAGTACTGTCATATTACACCATCAAGGACATTGGGGGCAACTGACTCAACCTACACCTAGTTATCCACCCACCACCACCACCCCTCACCCTCCCCTTCCTGGAGCGCCCACTGGTGGCTCAACCCTGTATGACACGCAGACGCTCAACCCATCTTCTCTGATGTCTTATCAACATGTGCCGCAGCCAACATGAACATGGTGGATTCATAAATCTGCTGCATTTAAAGTCACCTCAAAGAAAGCAAGAGGCAGCCTCTGTGGTGGTCTGGTCCTGCCCGGTCCCTGAGTGCTGGTCTATCCTCTGCGTTTACACTACAGAGGGAGCAGGGTGATGTTCTCAATGGGCCGCTTCACCTTCACTAAACACCTTGTGTTCATTATTAATCAGACTGCTGAGTTTCTGTGTCCTTGTTGTGGCCGATACTCAGCGGTCTAATTAATGGTCAGATCAATCAATAAAGTCTATAACTGATAATGGTCGCGTTCTGTCATAAAAGGGCGCGGTTTGCAGATAATTAATCTCTCACGGCAGAAACAAAACGAGGTCCATTGACGGCTGTAGAGTGCTGTTAATGAACTGATGTTTCTGTCATCCTCCTCCAGATTTTCATGTATTGCTTCGGATGAACCCGTGAATGCGTCTTTAAGAGTCTGCTCGTTTCTGCAGCGGCGGCTTCTGAGGCCGCTCTCTTTATCAANCCTTTTTTTAAAAAAAGGGGGGGGGGGGGGGGGGGGGGGGTGTTTTAAAAACGCTAATCGCCTGTAATCCTTTTAATATGTCTCACACTTTGCTCTGTCAATACACAAAGCTGCTGCAGCTCCAGCTTCACCAAACTGGAAAACTCCTGAAGTGGAGAAACTGGAGTATTAATGTGCAGATAGAGAGGAGGGTCCACGGGGGGGGGGTGGAGTGGGGGCCGAGGGGGTGTCCGCTTTTGTTCTGCAGAAAAAGGGGGCTTGTTCTTAGCAGATCAGCCTGCCATTTTAACCGGGGGTGTGTTGTGAGCGCCGAGCGAAGAGAAGAGGCTTGACACGGGAGCGGTGTGTGTGGGATGGGAGCAGAGAGAGGAGAAGAGAAGGAGCGTCCTGCCTGCAGTCCTGCCACAGCCGAGCGGAGCAGCAGCAGCATCGAACACTGAGGAACCCGAGCCAGCCCGAGCCTCCTGGATCACACACACACACATATATATATATATATACACACACACACACACACACACACACACACACCTGAGGGCCGCAGAGGATTACAAAGCAGGGGACAGTCTGACAGCCCCGGAACAACTTATTTGTAAAAATCTAAAGAAGAATATCCTGCAGCGCTTTTCTCCAAACTTCAACGCACAGCTCAGCTTCTGCAAGTGCACTTAGACCCTGCAGCCTTCTGACAGGAGCGGCCAGTCTGTGTCCTCATGCTAAATTATCCTTCATTATCAGACAGATATTTCTGCGGAGCAGTGATGGACATTGGTTTGGTGAAGAACGCATCCGCGGTGCGTGCGTGAGCCTCTCTGTCAGCACCTCTGACCTTTTTGTGGATTTCTCTGAAATCTTTGGACTCGATTCTTTGATTATTTTTGATTTTTTTTTTTTTTTTAATTCAAACGAGATCAGCTGGACTTTGCTGCTCCGGTCACAATTTACTGGAAGAGCTTTTTTCACCTGCATCCAACATGCGACCCATCCCATCCAGACTCAGCTATCTGTGAGTGCTCTCCCTNCGGGTGTGGCCCGCCCCCCGGGGGGGGGGGGGTCATCAGGTTACTGCTTTATGCACTCAAATGAGACGCGGTCATTTTTTACATTTTCAGTGTTATTCTTTTTTAGAGTTGCGGTGGCGGCGCGAGCTTGGGGCAGCCCAGGCTCCTCCTCGCCTCTCTCTCTCCCCCCATACCAAGTGTGGACCGCTCCTCAGGTAAAGAGATGTTTTAAATCAAGGAGAGGGGTNGCAGCATCGAACACTGAGGAACCCGAGCCAGCCCGAGCCTCCTGGATCACACACACACACATATATATATATATATACACACACACACACACACACACACACACACACCTGAGGGCCGCAGAGGATTACAAAGCAGGGGACAGTCTGACAGCCCCGGAACAACTTATTTGTAAAAATCTAAAGAAGAATATCCTGCAGCGCTTTTCTCCAAACTTCAACGCACAGCTCAGCTTCTGCAAGTGCACTTAGACCCTGCAGCCTTCTGACAGGAGCGGCCAGTCTGTGTCCTCATGCTAAATTATCCTTCATTATCAGACAGATATTTCTGCGGAGCAGTGATGGACATTGGTTTGGTGAAGAACGCATCCGCGGTGCGTGCGTGAGCCTCTCTGTCAGCACCTCTGACCTTTTTGTGGATTTCTCTGAAATCTTTGGACTCGATTCTTTGATTATTTTTGATTTTTTTTTTTTTTTTAATTCAAACGAGATCAGCTGGACTTTGCTGCTCCGGTCACAATTTACTGGAAGAGCTTTTTTCACCTGCATCCAACATGCGACCCATCCCATCCAGACTCAGCTATCTGTGAGTGCTCTCCCTCCTTCACTCCCACTCTCTTAATGCTCCTCCACTCCGCTTCCAAGTTACTTAATGCATGTTATTCTTCTTCTTTTTCCAGGTTTCTACACTTATTTGCATTCTGCTACTACACTCAGGTATGTCACTGCTTTCATTTCTTTTTTTCACAGAAATATTTTTTGCAATGCTCCCTTTGGGTGATAAAATAAAGATTAGCTACAAAAAAAAATCTGTAAAACATATGGCAGTGGAAGCGCGTGATGCACAGGGCAATAACAGGAAAGGTGAGGGATCATCATAACATTATGTGATACAACAATATCGGATGGCTCCCACGGTGCGCCGGGCAGCGGGGGCGCACGGCCTGCTGGCAGGTTGCTGATGAACATACCGGCCCTGGCACAGGACGCGCGGGCACAGACGGGGCATCGGGGCAGGGGGAAATGCTTGCGAGTCTTGTGAATAATGTCATGGGGTTCAGGGAAGCAGAGGGGCCAATGTTTTCCGTCAGCGGCGGTCATTCCATCACGGCAGAGCGCGGCGGGGAGAAATAAAAATGCGAGACTGTGAGAGGTCGAGCTCCTCTCCCTGCTCTCACATTCTCCTGTCCGCACAACCTGTAATCACACCGCGCGTCTCTCTGGAAGCTGTTCATTTCATTTGGCCGCAGCTCTTCCTGGATCCTCTTACACTTGTCACTCGGGAAAACACAACAACAAGCTGTTATTGCGTTAGAGCCCCCCCCCCCCGTGTTTAGCTGCTTCAGTCGTTTTCTACAGAGACCTGAGCACACACAGCTCAGGCCTCTCTGTCACCGACTGAAGTTTAATGTCAGTACAAAAAAATAAATAAATCAAACAAACACAAAGTTAAATGTACACGTACTGATGATGATGATGATGACATCTAATTTCTGACAGGTAACCAATCAGTCCCCGCCTAATTTCACGCAGCATGTAAGCGAGCAGAGCAAAGTGACGGACCGCGTGAGCCGCAGGTTGATCCGGATCTACCAGCTGTACAGCCGGACCAGCGGCAAGCACGTTCAGGTCCTGCCCAACAAGAAGATCAACGCCATGGCCGACGATGGAGATGTGCACGGTAAGACAAACTCCCTCTGTAAATGTATTATATCGTCCTCTGAAACCCGCCGAGGTCTTCTCAGTGTTCCAGGAAAGTTTGATTCATTTTTTTTTTTTTTTTTTTTTTTTTTTTTCATTTTTGGAACTTTAGTTTTCAGATAATTCCAATGCGATGCGCAAAGAGGAATGTGGATTTAGTTCACCGTAAGTTCATTTACTCTGCATCTCCATGTCCCTGCGACCTGCATCAATTTAAATTTCGCCGTGCAATTATTTTTTAAAAATCTGTCCTCATCACATTATTTCCCCATTGGTCTGCAATTTATTCTATTTTATTTTATTTAAAAGAAAATTTGTTTTTATTCCATCAATTTTCACTAATAATTTCCTGGATTAATTTAATTTCTGGTCTCATTCTAAAATTCTTTGGCTGAAATTATTCGCATTTTTTCCCAACATGGCTCAAGGCCAAAATTTTTAAAGCGATTAAAACAGTGAAATATCTGAGGACCTGAAGCATTTAACGAGAAATATCTACAGAATAAAAGGCACATGTGTAATTTTAATGTTTTTATTTCTTGTGTAAATCACGTAGGCTCGGCCTACAATAAGAGGAGGTATTTCTAAAGGAGATTAGCATTTGCAGAATTTGTTGAATGGATTGTCATTCATTCAAAATTCAAGCAGAATTCCGCGGTTTTAAATTGTTAGGAGTGTTGTTGAGGCTTTACGCTGCTCACCGAGCGGCTGACGGCTCCCTGCGCCGTCTGTGATCTCAGTCTGCAGCTGTGGTGTTGGAGGGAAAGAGGCTCGAGTCTCAGAGAAAGCGTCCGGCGGATTGTAGATGGTGCTGGAGGTGATCCTCCAGAGATCCCCGCCGGTCTGGAAGAGCCATTAGAAGTCCATCTTAACTTCTGCCTCCCGAATATTTCCTGCATAGCTTCTAATTCTCTCCCCTCCACCCCCAGCTTCAACCCCGCTCCGTCCAGCCTCACAACCAAGCAGGCCTCGTCCGAGTCTGCAGCTCCTCTGGTCTGCGGGTCTTTGTTGTGTTCACACTGAACTGAACGTGGACTCATCTGTTGAAATATGTGTAGATAGCTGAGTGTTAGCTGTGCGTTGGCTGCAGGGAGCTGCTGTGTGGTTGTTGCAGGATGTAATTGTCTGCACGTGTGTAAACCCAAGAGTGTGCAAGCTATTCACCTGAAGTCATTTTGTATGAAATGAGAGAGCAAATGTCTGTGTGTCTGTGTGTGTGTGTGTGTGTGTGTGTGTGTGTGTGTGTGTGAGAGTGTGAGTGTGTGTGACTCAGACTCTGCTGTAGCTGCTGATTCTGAACCACAACTGTAGCTCTCAGATGTGTGGTGGTTAGTCAGTGGCTGGGTGTAGAAGGTCCCTGCCATCATCAGTGACCCCGCTAACCCCAGGGAGGCCATCGGCATGGAGCCATTTTTATGAGACAATGGGGATTTAGAGGGAATTTATAGAGCGTCATCTGCTATTGGCTTTTAATGTTCTGAATCAGTATCAATGAGGATCTAAAAAAAAAAAAAAAAAAAAAAGGATCACTGCAGCGCAAACACACTGAAAATGACCTTCAGCTACTGTCTGTCATTCAGCACAAGTTCAGAAATAATTAAATCCACCCTCGTTTTGTTTTTCATCTTGTTTGAAACAATGGTAGAAAAATGCACAAAGCTCCATAAAGCTGTGCTCCGTGAACGCTGCGTGTTTCCTGTGTCTTTCACTACCTCGCGGGGTATACGGAGATGAATGTGAAGCTTTATGTGGGAGGTCAATGCAGATTTATTTGAAAAGGAGTTCTTGATGGGCCTGCCAGGATCGCCTCTTTAGCTTTCAAAGAATCAAGAGACACGTGGTTTTATCATTTTGCAAGAATTTCAGCTAGCATGAATCCCCAGGAATGGTCCCACAGGTTTTAATGTGTGTGTGTCTGTGTGTGTGTGTGTGTGTGTGTATGTGAGGAGAGTATGCATGCTTGGAAACACACTCAAGCATTTGCGTGTGTTGTTGATGCTTTTATGTACATGTGTGCGCTGTTAAGTCATCCATTTAGGTTTTAATGTTTGAAGACACCCCCGAAACAAAGAGGTCTCCTGCCTCCTGCTCTCAGCTGTCTGGCTAACACAACTATTTCTGCTTGTTTTCTTTAGCCAAACTCATCGTGGAGACGGACACATTCGGGAGCCGAGTGCGCATCAAGGGAGCTGAGACGGGCTTCTACATCTGCATGAACAAGAGGGGGAAGCTCATCGGCAAGGTGAGGAGAAGAGTTCACCTCAGCAGGGGCAAAAGTTTAGGCGAGCTCATTGTAGCCGAGACTATTTGTAAAAAAAAAAAAATAATAAAATAAAATAAAAGAGAAAAGTAATGTAGAATGATTTGCAGCCAAGTGGAGGAGGTTTGTGTTGACGGAAGGTCAAACTGACAGTAAATGTATGGTATTGAAATTTGCTGGGACTACTTTCTCTATGACCACATGAATCAGAGAAGTGGTGGATGATGAGAGACTGAGTACAGCTACATATCACTGCACAGCACATGAATACATGAGTCCTCACCTAAAACCCAAGGGATACAAAACATTCCGGTTCTATATTTTTCTAATGTCATCAAATTCCATTCAAAGACTAAAACTAACAAAGAATCCAAACCCTGACGTAGCTCAGTACTCAACATGTATTAGTCCATTGCTGAAAATAGTCCCCAACAAATCCACTATTTCCTCCTGTCTGTGTTACTGTTTTAGGAAATTACTGAGTGTTTGTTAATTGAAACTATGTATTTGTGAGGTGTAGCAGTAGGAACCAATGGGCTCAGAGCTGAGAGCCACAGACACACTCGCACATTGTTGGTTTGAGTGTTTATATGAGATTTACTGACAATAAGAAAATGAAAGAATAATTCCAATCTGCAGAGCATGTTTTAAAACCCAGTGGCAGCTCTGACTGTGCTTGATAGTCTCAGCCTATTATACTGTATTATCAGCATGTTGCACTGGTTTAACCTTAGAGGTGTGTTTGTTAAAGAAGATGACCAGCTGGATAATGTGAAGCCATTTACAGCAGTGTTTAGCCATATACACATAGGAGTTATGTGACTGTAGATGTGTGTGTCAGGCTGAGGCTATGTCAGTGCCCCTCTCTCACTATCACTGCTAATAAAAAGAGCTGGTACACCCCCCACCCCCCGCACACACACATGCACCAAACAGACACACACACACTCCACTCCACCCACCCAGCACCCTGCCTCGTACACCATCTGCCCTGAGCTACCGGCCCAGTTACAGCCTGCCTCAGTGTGTGTGTGTGTATATGTGTGTGTGTGTGTGTGTGTGTGTGTGTGTGTGTGTGTGTGTGTGTGTGTTGAGGGGTGAGAGAATGAACAGAAAGTGTGTCTTTTGGATGTATGTGTGCACTTCGGGTGGATCATGACTATTTTTAACACACTATTTTGTCCAAAAAGGTAGGAGCTTGTTACAGTAGGTTATCACTGAGAGTCCAGGTCCAGTCTCTACTGTTTCAGCTGACCTTACTGTACATTTCATCACTAATGGAAACGGTTTTTTATTCTATCATATCATAGACTAGATGTCACACTTCACCTTGTTATTTACTGTCTCACCCCTGAGCTGCTTTGTGGTCTAAAGTCAACAGTCAGAGCTACTGGGGCCTCACCTGAACGCAGCAGTGGACTGGTGACATGTGTTTAGAGATCTGTCGATTATTATTCAGTTCAGTCAGACCTGGTTGGTTAAATTTAAGCACAAATGCAACAGGAAATCAAAGCCGGAGTGAAAGTGACCCTCGGGGGTTGATTAAGGCTTTATGGCTGGAGGATCCGTCCTGCAGCTACTGACCCACGAGGGCTGCTGGATGTTTGCTGAAAGGGGGAGAAGAGTCATCGCTTACTGTCATCCCCCTCTCTCTGATCTGTAATGACTGTAGCATATGCTGCATGTATGTGGGGAGGGCTGTGTGAGTGTGTGTGCGTGCAGGGGACAGGCTGCACAGGGAAGCCTTTATACGTCTGATATTTCCCATCTGTAAATCTTCATCGAGGACTCTTCTCTGAACATTCCCACTAACTGTTTTTCTGTGTGTCTGTGTGTGTGTGTGTGTGTGTGTGTTTCTGCAGAAAAATGGACAAGGCCGCGACTGTATCTTCACTGAGATTGTCCTGGAGAACAACTACACAGCGCTAAGGAACGCCCGCTACGAGGGCTGGTACATGGCCTTCACCCGCCGTGGGCGGCCACGGAAAGGCTCGCGGACGCGCCAGCACCAGCGCGAGGTCCATTTCATGAAGAGGTTGCCGAAGGGACAGCAGCCCGCCCACCCGAGCCACCACCGGCCTTTCGACTTCATCCACTACCCCTTCAGTCAAAGGACTAAACGCACACGGTACTCGGCAGAGCGCTGAGGAGGAGGAGGAGGAGGAGGAGGATAGAAAAGACAGAGAGAAAGAAGAGAAACTGACAGACTGACTGAACAGCAGCCGACATACTCCTCTGCTCTCCACACAAAACCTCTAGAGACATTTTTATACTGAGCATTACTATATCTTAATATGTAGTTCGTTTTCTATTTTTCTCAAAGTAAAAAAAAAATCTGTACATAGGCAAAAAATGTGAGAAATCTATTTTTGTACTCCAGACTTTTAGTACTGAGCTGTGTTAAAAAACAAAAAGGGAAAAAAAAAAAAGAAAAAAAGAAAAGTTTGTTTTTAGATGCACATAACTCATTGTCTGACTTATCGGGGATATCTTAGTAGAGTGCGTTGTGTTGTTTTTTTTATGTAATTTTGACCAGTGGAGTCATTTTTTGGACTCTCGCCTGCTGCTCAAGGAGACTTGAAGGGCCCTGATTAACCGCACTGCCAGGGAACGCTGCGTTCAGAGAGACATACTGTCACACACTGCGTTGGAGAGCGCCGGGGTCAGTGAACGTTGCATAAGCGTGCGGTGATGACGGTAAAGACGCTGCGTCCTGACTGGGCTCATTCTCTATCTTTCTCACACAGTTGAAGCAAACTGAGCTTTAACAGTGTCCGATGGAACAATGTGGCAGCTACATTTGATAATCACAGGTTTCCTGTTCTGACTGTAATGTTGACGTGTACAAAATGCATTGAAGTGTAAGGAACCCCCTCGACACGCCCACGACCCCCCCACGTCTACTTGTGTTCTTGTCGTCCCCTGAATGTGTGTTTTTATACATATATAAATATATTTTTATTTGAGGATGTGTAAAATAATTTTAAGGATGGAATATTTATTTAAAATGTGTAATAAATGTACATTAGAATACTGATATTAAACTCTTGTTTGGTACATGCTCGCTTTGGATCCATCTGTGAAAAGCTGAAAACACACACAGAAGCTGACCAGGCTCTATGCACACACACTTAGCTTTGTGTAAATACATTTTAGCTTAGTGCTAGTCTGATAGAACCCGTACCCAGCCTGAAATAAGAAACTCATTTGTGCACACAGTTCACTTATTTCATGCTCTTAGATTATTGTGTGCAAAACACTGCATGAACTAATACTGTTTTAACAGCATGTTTCTGTGACACCAACACCACATTTGTTGCAGCAAAATCTGATATAAACACTGACTGTTGTCGAACAGTCTCATCCAAATGAGCTGCTTGCATTTAGCACAAATTCAATGTTATGTTCTATTCATTTGTGTGCACACACTCATTCACAGGCACAAATTAATAGTCTGCGCACATCAAGTATTAAATGGAGATTTTGTATTATATATTACAAACTGTTGAGGGACATTCACAAGAAAAAGTGGAAAGTACATATTCATACTATACACTGTATGTTCCAGTTACAAAACCATTTCTGGCGAACACCATCCATCCACACAGCACTTACATGCACGTCACATGCGTAGGTTGCCAGATATGGTTGTTATTTCAGGTTTTGGTCTCTGTATCAAACCTTGCAACTTAACTTCAATGACAACATTTAAGTCACTACACCAGCTATTGTTGGACAAGAAATAGTTCCAGCACATAACACCCTCTAAAACTACAACCTGTTGGTTTGACGTTGGTTTGTGTATGTGCAAAGGTTAAAGAAATAAGATACAACAAGTTAGCTGCAGAGCCAGAGCCAGGCTAGCTGTTTGCTTCTGCTTTCAGTCTTTATGCTAAGCTAATCCCTCCCAAAATACTAAGGCTACGTCCACACCACTACATTTTCATTCTAAAATGGCGTTTTCAAAAGAAAACAAACTTCATCCATACTAACACAACGGTAAAGATGAAAAAGCAACGAAAAAGCGACAGCAAAGACTGTTGCAGTGTTAAAATGCAGAATTTAACTGAACAACAGCTGCTAGCAAAAACACTTGTAATTCGTTATCCATGTTGCTTTCACCAATGGTAGTCGAGGCTGATAAGACCCAATCGGAGCGACTGGGGGTGACTATTATGTCATCATTTCCAAAACTCTCTGTTTTCGGTGCTCGGTGTGGACGGGAGGAGGAAACTTAGCAAAAGAGGTGCGTTTCAAAACAAAAAAATAGTAGTGTGGATGTAGCCTATAGGAGGGAGCAGGTCACACATTTATACCATCCTAAACTGTTTAGGAAAATATTTGTGCCTCCTAAAGTGAAGTCATGAGATTTGAGAACAAACCAACAGCTGAACTATTGGTAACCTAATGTTAACTATGCTAGGCAGAAGCTGCAATAGAAGACAGTGGCACTAGCTGTATATGTTGGTATTTACAGGTCTGAGCATTTGTCCTCAAACTGTAAATATTGTAGCTGAAACTGAAGTAGACCGAGCCAGCCGGCAACAAGTGGAGCAGAGGAAACAGGAGCCAAACAGACTCATGGTGAGCCGCCAGCAGAAACTGTGGTTAGCACTGAAAGTTTGCTCATGCTCGTCCTCCAGTTAGATTTAGAAGTCGAAGACTTGCTCTCTGCTTGTTCACTTGGAAAACCTTTAATTAAAGGTCAAATCCACTTACAACATGTGTTCTGTCTTCCCTCTAGTGATATCACTCAGAAGGTTTTAGTTTTATCTGTCCAGGTTTGGAGATCTGTCAGTACAATGGAGGGGAACAGAATTTCATTTGTAGTGTGCAAGGTCTTGATGGGTCTGACGCCTAATTAATACTGAACACCCTAAAAACCTAAACATCAAATTAGCTGGGAGTCTCATAAATGAAGCATTTATTCCAACAGCCATTGTGCATCTCTATAACACGGTACCCCTACTTCACCCACTATCTATCCCAACAGCAAGCTCTAAGACAGACTGGGCTGTGGCTCTTACATTGTCGTATCAGGTCAGACAAAAGCCTAATTGAATCCAGTTGCTCCCTTCTGTTGAGCTTTGGGGGTTTTAGGGCTGAAGGTTCCAGGACTCTGGTTGGGAGACAATTTTAAACTTGTTTTCATTACCATTTTCAAATATTTTCTACTTTTTCGCAGCTTATGGATTTTAAAGGTCCCATATAGTCTAAAGGTAGATGTCCATGTGTTGTGTGATTATAAAGCAGGTCTAGGTTCTATATTAATACTGTGAAAGTATCAAAGCCTCAGTCCACAGAGAAATGCACTCAGCCTGTATTCGGAAACTGAGCCTTAAAAAGAGCCGTTAGGACTTCTGTAACTTTGTGATGTCACAACAAAGCAGTCACTGCCCTCAGCCATGCCCAAGCCCTGCCCACCTGGACTCACCATCCAGCCTTTCATGATTTTGTTTACCTGAAAATTGCTATATTTTTATCTGATCACTCAGAAACTAGTCAGCCAATCAGAAGAGAGGCTCAGAGCCTCCAGTCTTCTGATTGGCTCACTGAACTGTAGTTACTAGAGCTCCAGAGAGAAGCCTGAGAGAGGAAATGTAAAGCTACATTGAGATGGTTTTTGGTTCTTAAAACCACAAATATATCTTCTTATGGATCAACACTTCAAATAAAATACTGGAAAAATGTAAAATATTGGATATTTAAAGATAGGGTGCTGTTGTACAGCTACTTGACCTGTGGGTGCATGCACTTCATGACACTTGTATAAATATAATTTTCACCTTTCCATCGAGACTAAATTTCCAAAATGATGACAAAGCTGCTCAGTGAGTCAGTGGCGTCAAGAAAACAACCTTTAATCATTTCTAACTTTCTCTGTGATCCATCAGTTTAAATGTCGATATATCTGAACACACAGCATAGCTGTTGTCATTAACCTGGATTTATGCTGATTTTGTCAGATGACACCACAACATCTGAAAATACAGATGTGTATTAGCCAGCTGTGTGTCTCACTCCTCACCAGATGATGGTTGTTATGAAGTTTTGGACAAAGAAGAAGAGATGAACTGTGTTTCTGTAGTTAAGGTGTTTCACTGTGGACAGAGCCCTCAACTAAAACCACCTCAGCCAGACCGTCTGAGTGGCTGATAGACGCTTCAGTTTTACTTTCCACAATCCTGTGGCCACGTGGGACCATGTGACAGAAATGTTATCATCTGCCCATGTCCACAACTGTCTGTGGACTATACGGACCTAAGAGCAAATGTTAGCATGTTTATGAACATAGACACCTATGAATGTTCATAAAACGGCCTGTAGTGAAATAGTCTGGAGCTGCCTAATTCAGGGTAAATCCTACAGGTCAAACCAGTCAGTAACTTGTTGTTTTTTGCCTGAGGATGGAGCAGGTGTTGCTCATGTCTGACACATCTCCAACCAAAAACTTGAGCACAGACCCAGAACCAGTAGCAGTTCAAGTCTGAACCTGACCCACGTTACTGATGCCACAACCCAATGTATACCTCATCTGTCTAGTACATTATCTGTAGGAACCATTTGACTTTTCGTTTATTTGTTTCTTTGAGGTTTGTTGAGAAATAAACTTTCCTCTTCTCTGGTGTTGGTTTTAACCTTCTTACACCAGCAGCTCTTAACTGAACCGAGAGGAAACGCTGCGGCCGCTGTGGTTTCTCCCCACATGAAACCTGACCAGGGAAAGCTAACAGGGAGGGTATTCTTAGACAGATCCCAACAGGGATAACAAGGTCATTTGAAGTCATGAAGATCCCCCCCACCCCTCCTTCCTTTTTAGCAGATAGCAGCATGTCAGTGTCAGAGCGCTGTGCTGTTGTGGTGATGATACCACTGTGTTTGTTTTTAGGCTTTAGCTTCCTTCAGGTTCTGTAACTCTCAGTATCTCCACTGTTTTTCTTTCATCTCCCGCCTTTTAGCACCCTGGCGTTTCATTTGATTGGACAATCCCAACATGCACCAGTGTGTGTGTCTTTGTAGGTATGTTTGTGTGAAAGGGAGTCAGATCACTATATTTGCCAATGTATGGGTCTGATACAGGCCACTTAGTGTCATCCACCTCTGATATAACAATATAACACTTTTTGATCAAATTACATCACGATACTTGAACCTGAACTAAATAATAGTCTAAGAAACAGCAGTTCAGTTGAGGAAA